TAGTAGCTAAAAGAGATGTTATTGACTAATATCCTGAACTCTACAAGTTAATTTCAGGTAATTTCTCCAAAAGGTCTTCCTTGAAAATTCTAAATAGTTTATGAGGAAAAAGTACAAGGGATAGGTGTGTAGCTTAGTAGTAGAGTGTTTATGAAGCATGTATGAGGCCCTGGGTTCAATCCCCAGGACCCAAGAAGGAAAAAATGAGAGATATATATTTGATACTTCAATGTAGAAACAAAACTATATTTAGCCTGTTGATTTGTGAATTAGTAAAGTCGTTAAGTGCAAACTGGGACAGTAGAGCCAAGTATTTATTTTTGAAACTCTTGAAGGTTTTTGGACTAGATTGTCTATAATCCACATATGCGTACCTGTCAGTGAATTTTCTCCTCAACATGAGGTTGTGCTTAAACCACCATATCTAGGGCATATGCTAAGGACTGGTTTTCCACAGTATGGGTGATGAATGTGCACTTCCTCTTTTATAGGAGGCTTCTTTTTTTCAATATTTTTATTTGTTATTTTTATTTTATGTGTATGAGTGTATTGCCTTCATGTAGGTAAGTGTACCCATGTCGTGCAATGCTCTCGGACAGAAGAGGCCATTGGATCCCTTGGAACTGGAGATAACGGACAGCTCTTAGCTGCTATGTAGGTGCTGGAATTCAAACCTGGATCTTCTGCAAAAACAGTCAGTGTTCTTAACCACTGAGCCATCTCTCCAACCCTGGGACCCTTCTTTAGATTGGAAACAGTCATTCTGATGTATCTCATTTAATCATCATGCAACTCCATGATATGGGTACTGTTACCTATTTTCCAGGTAGGTTAGGACTGCTTAATTTTAGATAGCTGGTGTTAGAGCAGTGGGGCTAATTGCTCTTTATTTTTCACATCAGTGGGTAGGTTTTACTGATTATGCATAGGAGTCCTTGTCTAGAGAGAATATTGTCTAGAGGGAACAAGCTTATCTGTCAGACTAGAAAGTCTTTGTGTGTTTATTGATAAAACCTTCCCTTTCTCCTCACATGCCTCCATAGCATGTTACCCCATTTTGGGGGCATTATTATTATTATTATTGCCCTTTAAATTATTTATTATTTTTATTTCTATATGTATGAGTGTGTTTTCTGCATGTATGTGAGTGCACCTATGTTGTGCAATGCCGTGGAGGTCAGAAGAGAGCTTCGGATTCCCCCTGCAACTGAAGTTAAGGACGGTTTGTTGCCACCATGTGGGTGCTGGGAATCAAACCCGGGTCCTCTTCAAGGGCAGTCAGTGCTCTTAACTACTGAGCCATCTCTCCAGCCCCTAGTTTGGTCTTTTTGAGACAGGGCCTCCTTGTAGACCCAGCTAGCCTGGAACTCACTATGTAGACCAGGCTGGCCTCAAACTCACAGAGATCCAAACTCACAGAGATCCCTCTGTCTCCCAAGTATTGGGATTAAAGGTCTATACCACCCTGCCTGGCAACTGTCGTTGTTGTTGTTGTTGTTGTTATTATTATTATTATTTTGAGACAGGATCTCTCTGTAGCCCCAGCTAGCCTAGAACTAGCTATGTAGACCAGACTGGCCTTGATCTCACAGAGATCTACTTGCCTCTGCTTCCCAAGTGCCTGGGATTAAAGGTGTGCGCCACCACTCCAGCATATTTTAGTTTTAATTATGTGTATGTGGGTATATGCAGATGCATGTGGAGGCCAGAAGAGTATGTTAAATCCTTTGGAGCTGCCATTACAGGCAGTATGAGCTGCCTGGCATGGATGTGGGGAACTGAATTTGGGTCCTTTGCAAGAACAGTTCCCTCTTTTTTGAAATTAAAAAAAAATATTTTATTTATTATTTTTATTTTATGTGTATGAGTATATTGTCTGCATTTACATGAGTGCACCCATGTCGTGCAATGCTGCAGAAGTCAGAAAAGGGCTTTGGATTCCCCTGGAACTGGAGTTAAGGACAGTTCGTAGCTGCCATGTGGGTGCTGGGAATTGAACCCGGGTCCTCCACAAGAGCAGTCAGTGCTCTTAACCACTGAGCCATCTCTCCAGCCCCCAGTTCCCTCTTTTAAATGGAGCCGTTTCTCCAGCCCCTTACGTCCTGTCTGCATCTCTCCCTCCCTCCCTCCCTCCCTTGCTGTCATTTTTCCTGACATGGTCTTGCTAAGTAACCAAGGTTGACCATAACCAAGGTTGACCTTTAGCTTACATCTTTCCTGCCTCTGCCTCCCAAGTGCTGGTAGTTACAGTTGTGTGCCACCATGCCTCTGTCTCTAAAACTCGGTTTTTATTGTGAAACAGTTCATTCATACAATTAAGAATGTTGTATGATCTCATTAGCATTGGCTGAAAACCCTTTTCTTTCTTTGTAGCTTGTTTTCCAAAACAGCAAACAAAATATTACAGCTAAGATTGAAGCCTTAGGTGAGTGGATGTAGTATTATATACCTGTGATTCCAGCACTTGGGCAGTCGCAGTAGGCGGCTTCGGAGTTCAAGGCCAGCCTGGGCTATATAGGTAGCTCTAGGCTAGTCTGGGCTATGTGATACTCCATCTCAGGAAACAAAGAACAAGCAGCAACAGAAATGATTGAAGCCCTAGTTTTGTTAATTGCTCCCTCCCCATGGTTGTCTGTACCATGAAATCAGTGCTTGTTATTCTCATGCTCTCTTATTTCTTTGAAAGGATTTCCCCCCATTTTACAGAGAATGAGTGAATAGGGCAGCTAAATCAGTGGTAAATAGAGATAAGATAGCCAAGATTCAGTGCCCAGAACTCAGATTTTTGGACTGGCCTGTCTTTTATTCACCTCAGAAAGTTCTCCATCCGATCAAGAGCTTCCTAACTGGACTTAAAGCCCACTCGATGGGAGGAAACTCATATGTGGTACTGTAAACATAGCCAGATAAACATGACTAGGGAGGTCTTAGATCTTAGAGAAAAACCTCAAGGCTGTCACACCCTAGACAAATATGATTTCTTACTCTGTGCAAAATATGGATCCTTATATTTACAGATAAGTATCTCAGTCACCACCCATCAAAGAAGCTTCTTTTACAACAGATGGAGACTATTACAGAGTTCCACAACTGTCACACACAGGCATTGTCTATGAATTGCCCAAGACTAAGTGGCATATCTATAATGCAACCTCTATACCTAAGGCTCATGGAACATAGAACAAGGAGTAAAGAGGACACTAATGCATCTTTCAGTTCTCATCAATGAAGCTCCCTCATGCAACAGAGGGCCAGGAACACAAAAGGTCACAAATGGCTAAAATGTAGAGATTAAGAGTCTACAGAGTGTGGGTCCTTGGACAAGACTTTTTTTTTTTTTCTCCATCTTTTTGAGACAGGTTTTCCTTGTAGCCCCAGCTGGCCTGGAACTCACAGAGATCCACCTGCCTCTGCCTCTGCCTCCCAAGTGCTGGGATTAAAGGCATGTGCCATCACGCCTGGCCTTGGACAGGACTCTTATGTTAAACTCCACCCACCCAGGGCTCAGGGACCATTGCAGAAGAGGGGGTGGAAAGATTGTAAGAGCCAGGGAGGAAGTGCTTGACCATACGGAAATACAGTCCTACAAGCTCCTGGGACCTTACTCATATGAACCTACAACAATGGTGTCAGCATGCACAAGACCTATGCAAATTCAAACAGACAAAACCCAGCACAGAACTGTGGAAATGGGCAACAAGCCCCAGTCTTAGTTGAAGAATTATTGGCAGCTGATAACTGCTGGGTGAGGAAGAGCTGATCTTTTTTTTCAATATTTATTATTTTTATTTTTTATATGTATGCATGTAGATAAGGGCACCCATGCCATGCAATGCCGGTGTGGAGGACAAAACAGGCTGTCAGATCCCCTGGAACTGGAGTTACGGACAGTTGTTAGCTGCCATGTGGGTGCTGGGATTCAAACCCGGGTCTTCTGCAAGAACAACCAGTGTTCTTAAGCCCTGAGCCATCTCTCCATCCCCCAAGCTGATCTTCTTAAAGGAAGGGACTCTAGATAGGCTGACCAGACCTCAGTAGATGAACTCGTACTGAGGGACATCTGGGGACACTAACTTGACACAATGGATCTTAACAAAAATGACAAAATGTACAAATTCCAGTCAGGGGACCAAGGGAGGGTGCCAGTGGGGAAGGGGTATATAAAGATGATTAAGATTGGTTAAGATGTTCTGTATGAAATACACAAAAATTCAATAAAAAGTTTATAAAACAAAAAGTTCTTCAGCTGTTAAAAATGGAGTACTGGAAAATCCAGATGGTTATCAGTATTGACAAATTAAAAGTTGCTACATGGCGAGATTCCTATCTCTCCTCTCTGCCTTATTATCCTGATCATAAGTTTATTGTCCTATGTTATAAATCACCAGAGACATTTAAAAATTTATTATTTTATTTATTTGTATGTGTTTTGCCTGCATGTAAGTGGACCTGTGTCCTGCAATGCCGGTGGAGACCAGAAGAGGGCGTCAGATCCCCTGGAACTGGAATTTTGGATGATTGCAAGCTACCATGAGGGGCAGGGAACTGAACCAGGTCCTCTACAAGAGCAGCCAGTGCTCTTAACCACTAAGCCATCTTAGAGGCCTTTTAAACCCCAGAAACAGTTTGATTGTTGGCCAAGAACTTGTGAATATGAGCTCAGCTTCAGGCTGTATATGGGGAAAGGGACAAGATTATACATTGGGGCTGGCGAGATGGCTCAGGGGTAAAAGGCTCTTGTCACCAAGCCTGACGACCTGAGTTTGATTTCCAGAACCTACATGGTGGAAGGAAAGAAATGATTCTTTCAAGTTGTCTTCTGACCTCCATATGCTCACTAGGGCATGAGTGTCCACATATATGTGTCCACAAAATAAATAAATGTAATTTTTAAAAAGACTCTAAAAGGTCCTTCCTTGCAATACCATACTCTGGAAGAGGACTGTGGACATCTGCAGCTGAACCCCAGGTTCTTACGGTGGGCAGGTGATGTAAGATGTATTGGTTTTTTTTTTTAATGTTATGTGTATGAGTGTTTTGCCTGCATGTATGTAAGTGTACCTGGGGTACAATGCCCTCAGAGATCAGAAGAGGGCATTGAAACCCCTGGAACTGGAGTTAGAGACTGTTATTAGCCACCATGTGGGTGCTGGGAACTGAACCTGTGTCTCGTGGGAGTGCTCTTAACCACTGAGCCACCTCTCCAGCTCCAATGTGGTGGTTCTTAAGCCTGCCTCAATTAGCATCATGTGAATGTTTTTGAAAATAGTAGGTGTCCAGGTTCCATATGCATCTTATTAAGTAAAGAGTCACTATAACTAGAGCGTTCCAAGCAGGTTTGTGACTAGACATTTTGGGGTTACCTCTGACCTGGGGTACTCAAAGTAACTAATTTCGACACACAACTTTCCCCCAAAGTATAATAGGAATCAGGTGGACCTTTTGTGCACCAGCAATTTGTGATACTCTGCTGTGGCAGGGGGCAGCCACCATCTGCTTATACTCTGAACCTCCCTATCTTATTCTTCTGTAGTTGCTGCTCTGTGTGTCTGTGACCTGTCCCCAGCACAGTGTGATGTCAACTGTTGCTGTGATCCTGACTGCAGCACCACAGATTTCAGTGTCTTTTCTGCCTGCTCAGTTTCAGTTGTCACGTAAGTATATGACATACAATTTTGATTGTAATTTGACCAGGATAATAAAATTTGGGAACAGAAAGTGAAAACTCCCCAGGCAGGAAACTTCCAACCTGGTTTCCTATGTTCAGAAGCCTTCAGTAGCCTTTTGCACAAAAGGGTGTGTCACCCTGAAGCTGTCCCCTGGCTGCCTGTAGAGAACTGACAGCACTGGCAAAGGAAGGGTTTGTGCTACTTCTAGAGAATGCTGTGGAGTAAGTCTCTCCGAGATTGAAATTTGAGCTGTGTACAGATGACATGCCATGTGTTTGCATCTGTGAATTAGTCTCATACAGCCTAGGTATGTGTGATGTATGCATATATGTGCGTGGTGCATGTATGTGTATGGGTGTGCCTGCCTTTGTATATGTACAGGCCAGAGGTTGGCATCAGCTGTCTTCCTCTATTGCTTTTTACCTAATTTCTATTGGTTGGTTGGTTGGCTTTTTTATGGTTGTTTTGAGACAGGGTCTTCCCATAGCTTTTGCTTTGTTGGCCTAGAACTCACTGTGTAGACCAGGTTGGCCTTGATCTCAGAGATCCACTTGGCTGTCTCACAAGTGCTGGGATTAAAGGTGACTGCTACCATGCCCAGCTTCTACCTAGTTTTTTTGAGACAGGATCTCTCACTGAACTGAAGAGTGTCCTTTTTTTTTTTTTTGGTTAGGCTGGACCCAATTTTCTCTGACCCTCCTAAGTGATGGGGTTACAGGTTTGTGAATGCTGGAGATTCAAACTCAGGTCCTCATGGTTCTGTGGCAGTCACCTTACCCACTGATCTGTCTCAGTCCCAGCCTTTTCTCTGTATATTACCTAGTCAGGAATGCTTTGTGCATACCTTTCTATAGTAAATCAAGCAAGAATCCTCACAGTCCACAGTGCATGGGAAATGATGGGAAATGGTATTTCCATTTGGAAAAAAAGTAGCCCTTTAAAAACGTTCGTGCATTCGGGATGGGCCAGCTTACTACTAAATACAGAGAGAACTGCTTGAAATGCAGCCCTACAGCATGCTTTAGCAGCTGGTGTTTGATAGATTCAATCCTTTAGGAAACACTGGACTTTTCCCATGAGAAATGACTTTATCAACTTAGTGGGGAAACTGAACCTACCTCTAACTGTGAAGAAACCTGGAGAGCAGGCACTGGAGTCAGTTCATTTTCCGGCATCTGACTAGAACGTGGTTCAGCTTTCATTGAAAATCAGTTTGTCTCTGACTGGGACAACAGGCATGCACCACCAGGTCCAACAAGAATGTCATTCTTTAATTAGAGTGCCATTTATTAAAACAGTAACTTTAGGTATAGACTATACTATTTAGAACAGAGGATGGCAAACTTTGTAAAGGGACAGACAATCTTTTAATCTTCACAAGTCACACAGGTGCCTGATGAAGTTTCTCAACTCTACATTGTTGAACAATGGCCACCAATGATATATAAAAGAGCAGGTGTAATTATGCTCTAATCAAACTTTATTTACGAAAACAAGCATAGCAGCCGGGTGTGGTGGGGCACACTTTTAGTCCCAGCATGCTGGAGGTTGAGGCAGGCACATGTCTGTGAGGTCAAAGCCAGCCTAGTCTACTTAGAGTAAGTTCCAGCACAGCTGGGGCTACTGTCTCTTCAAACAAACAAATAAGCAAGCAAAAAACAAGCATAGCAGGATTTGGTGACCTATGCCTGAAATCCCAGCACTTGGGAGATCAAGGCCATTTTAGACTACATGAGACCCTGTCTTAAAAACAGGGTCTGGGGAGATGGGCTTGTTAGGCAAGAGTGCTTGCTGTTCAAACATGAGGACTTGAGTTCAGAGCCCAGCATCCATGTCATAAGCTGGGCAGCTCCACACTTGCCTGTAACCCCAGCCCTATAGGGAGAAGAGAGAGGGAATCACTAGAGATCTCTAGAGTAGAACACTCATTATTTGACCTCCCTGTGCCTGTACAGGTGCACCCCCCCCTGCCCACCCATACACCACACACATGTATAACACACACACACACACAAACACACACCCTATACATGCACCACCAACAACAATAAAATTAAAACAATAACAACCCAGGTGTGTTTGCAGATCCCTAGATTGGAAGTTAGGACTAAATCTGTGAAGCCCTTGAGAAAGGACCTCAGACCTAGAGCACAGGGATATCTCCATCAGTGTCAGCCCAGCTCCAACCACGTAATAGTCCTGCATTAAAAATTGATTGATATGCCTGGAGGAATGGCTCATCGGTTAAGAACACTGGTTGTTTTTATAGAGGACTCTGGTTCAGTCCTCAGCACCCACATGATGATTAACTACCATTTATAACTCCATCCCAGAGGATCTGACACCCTTTTCTGGCTTCCATGGGCATTGCATGACATGGGTGCACTTACATACACATAGGCAAAACACTTATACCCATAAAATAAAAATAAATTCAAAAATTTTTTTGATTGTTTGCTTGCCTGGTATGGTTGTGCACATCTTTAATCCCAGCACTCAAGAGGAAGAGGTAGGCAGATTTCTGTGAGATGAGGCCAGCCTGGTCTACATATCAAGTTCTAGGCCACCTGGAGCTACAGGGAACCATGTCTCCAAAACAAAACAAAAACGTTTGACTAGCTGGGAGATGTAGTTCAGAGGTAGAATGCTTAACTAGCATGCATGAGGTCCTAAGTAGGGGCAAAAAAGAAAAAAAAGAGGGGGCCTGAAGAGATGTCTCAGCCGTTAAGAGCAATTACTGCTCTTGCAGAGACCCAAATTCAGTTTCCAGCACTTATGTTGGGCAGTTAATGGTCATCTGTAACTCCAGCTCCAGGAGATCTGTCATCCTCTTCTGACCTCTGTAGACACCTATATACATGTAGTACGTACTCACATAGATATGTACACACATAAATAAATAAATTAAAGTAAATATATATTTTAAATGGCTTGGCAGGGACTGGTGTACAGTTTACCTAATCTGCAAGGCCTTAGGTGTGGTCCTTGGTCATACACACACACACACACACACACACACACACACACACACACACATTGACCAGGTCAATGGGTTTCTGATTTGATTTCTTCTGCCATCACCCTTTCAGAAGGAACCAAGCCAGAAACCTGGAGATTCTCAACTTCTTTCTAGCCCTTTTTTTTTTTTTTAGGGTGCTGGGATGGAATCAGGGCCTGGTACAGGCTAGGCAGGTGCTATGCCACTGAGCCATTCCCTATACCATTCTCATACACTTCTTGCATGCCAGCACCAGGGACATAAAGCCAAGTTTGTCCCGTTCCACCTTCAAGACCTTACTTTTGGATGAGAGAGAGAGAGGCGAGAGGCAGAGCCATGGAGAATGGGGGGCAGTGCCATGTATTTCAGCTAAGCCAGGGAAGGCCTTCTAGAAAAGATGATCTGAGCTGCACTGGGTTGCTGAGGGACAAGTACAAGTTGGGCAGTGTGGAGTTGGGGGACAGGCATTCCAGGCTGAGGAACTGAAACATTTAAATACCAGATAAATAAAAATGAGTTCAGTTCTGCCATCATGCTTTCTGTGTCCTCCATGTAGCTGTTGCCATAGTACCATAAAGGGATCTGGTAGTTTAATAAATCTACTTAGATTGTGGACTTACTCTGTTAAACTTTATGTTGCTATTTTCTTTCGTTTTCAGGGGTGATAGTCAGTTCTGTAGTCAGAAAGCAGCCATCTATTCCTTGAATTTGACAGCAGATCCACCTCACAGGGTATTTAAACTCATTGACCAGATCAACCCATCCATTTTTTGCATTCATATTTCAAACTGTAAGTATTTCATGCTGATGTATTTTGTGAAACTCTGTAGAGATTTTCTTTTAAAGTTATCTTATGGGAAAATATCATATTCTGTTTACCTTAAAGCACCCATCTGTTTTGGCTATATGAATAATTTATATCCTAAGGCCATTTCACAGGTAACAAGGTAACTTTATAGACCCTTAGCACACACTGTCTTCAGAAGTACCTGTGCTAGGCTTGTCTTTTGAACTCTTACCCTTAACTTCAAAGGTGTTTATACTCTGTACACATAGGAATTCAGGTTGTGCTTCTGTGTGCATGCTTGTGTGTGTGTGTGTGTGTGTGTGTGTGTGTGTGTGTGTGTGTGTTTGCATAATTTCTCTTAGCATAATGATTGAAAATCAGGCTCCGCTTCAAACATTATCTGTGGTTTCCATTTCCTTTTTCTCTTTTATTTTTACTACAAATATTTGCATGAAAACAGGATCTTTATTTTTACCTGAGCATTTAGCTCAAGCCAGTGTGTGGATCCAAAGTCTACGTGAGTGTGAAATGTTCTCTGTATCAAAGACCAGAGGCACATTTCTCACTTTGTCAGTTAAGCTTCATTATCTTTTTCCAATGTCTTTACATGTTTTGGGTTTGTTCCCCTCCTGATTAAAGGCTCAGATGAATGTACTGTAATTTATCTGAAGTGACAGTTGACCAGTGACTGTCTAAATCATAACCCCAGCACAGGCTTTGTGCAAGTATCGATGAGTATTTTCTTCCCATAGCCACCTGGAGAAAGGTTCCCTCTGAGGCTGAAGGAGCAGACTCTTGTCTCTGTGCTGGAGAAAATGGCAGGCTCTCTTTCTTGCCTTCTGTTATGTTATTTCTCTGTAGGCCAAGAAGATGTTACTACTAAATTGTTAAATGCAGCCAAGTCTAGTGATCCTGTTTGTTTGTGTATTGCTTTATGGACACAAGATCTTGCTGTGTAACCCTTGCTGGCCTGGAACTTACTGCATTAACCAGGGTGGCCTTGAACTCACTATGAACTCATCCATTCATTTAACGAGCCTCAGGAAATTTGGAAGAAGCAAATATGCAAAAGCCTTTTTTGCTACATCTATTTGTGTGTGGGGTGTGTGTGTGTGTGTGTGTGTGTGTGTGTGTGTGTGTGTGTATGTGTGTGTGTGTGGTGTGTGAACAACTTAAGGAGCTAGTTCTTTCCTTCTACCATGGGGGTTCCAGGGTCAAACTCAGGTTGTTAGGCTTGACAGCAGGCTCCTTTACCTGCTGAGCCATCTTGCCAGCCCGGAAAGACAATTTTTTCATATCAGCCTTATTGCTACTAAAAATGAATTCCAAAATGTTCCATATGTCGCATGTAATATGCATATATTCTGTGCAATTTTGAATGCTTCTGAAAACAGACAAGCCTGCACTGTCCTTTACTAATCCGGAAATACCCAATGAAAACAATTTTGACCAACTGATGAAAACATCAAGTGGTTTTACGATGCATTCCGAATCAGATGTGCCTTCCATAGCCACATTGGATGCTCCAAATCCCACTAAATATGAGGTGAGCCAAGCAAGAACTTGATGGCAACTACTTAAGTGTCCTGAAATACTCTGTAAGCTAATTTCAGTATCAGTGTAGAAACTGCCTTTCCTGAGATAGAGAATTGATATCACAGATAGTTAATGTGGTACTTCTCAGTCAAAGATCATGGGAATTCAGACTGACTATTGAAATTTTGAACCTAGGATTTAAGGTCACCACACTTTGTCTCTGTGGGATTCTTTGTTCTATTCAACCTAAGAGGGCATAGCAGAACACTTGAGGCCTGCCCCTGGGCACAGGGAGTAGACTTCCTGGATGCCTGGTCCACATCTCAAAGTTGTATTTGTTTTTACAGACTTATAAAATAATCACACAGCCATTTTATATCTATTCATTAGCAAACCTATAAAATGTGACCTGTTAACATTGAATAAACTTTAACTTTTTAAAAGCCAAGTGTACTGCTATATGCCTGTAATCTCAGCATTTGGGAGGTAGAGATGTGTGTTTGTCACTGTATCTGTGGCCTGTTTAATTATGGAATTCCCCTTGGCATATGTTGAGAAGCTGATGTAGCCTCTGCAGACGGGGATTAGGTAGCTGGGCACAGGGATGAACAAATCATTGTTCAGTATCATTCATTATTTAATTAGCAGCTATGACACATATTAAAATCATACACAGTTTGGTGTTTATGCACAGATATGTGTGTGGCTGCCCGTGGAGACCAGAGGTCAATGTTGGGTGTCTTCTTCAGTTGCTCTGGAGTTAAATTATATCACAAATCAAATAGCTCTAACAGATATCTGTAGAACATTCCATCCAAACACTAAAGAATATATTTTCTTCTCAGTAACCCATCGAACTTCCTCCAAAATCAATCATATATTAGGACATAAAGCACATGTCAGCAAATATAGGAAAATTGTAATAATATCCTGCAGTCTAACTACGAAAGAAAAAAACTGGATATAAACAGCAACAGAAATTACAGAAAGTATACAAGCTAATGGAAACTAAGCAGCATACTACTAAATGAAAATTGGGTCACTTGAGAAATCAGGAGGAAAATTTTAAAATTTCTAGATTTGAGTGAAAATGGAAACAAAACTTTCCAAAATCTTTGGGACACAATGAAGGCAGTCCTAAGAAGACAGTTTTATAGCACTAAGTGCCTACATCAAAAAATTTGAGAGATCTCATATTAATAACTTAATGATGTGCCTGAAGGCCTTGCAAAAAGTAAGAACAGGCTGGGTGTGGTGGCACATGCCTTTAATCCTAGCATTCTGGAGGCAGAGGCAGGCAGATCTCTGTGAGTTTGAAGTTAGCCTGGTCTACATAGTGAGTTCCAGGCCAGCCAGGACTACAGGAAGACACTGTCTCAAAATCCCCTCCCCCCAAAAAAAGAGAGAGAGAGGGGTAAGAATTTAGTTTCCTTCTACATGTAGCTATCCAGTTTGATCAGCACCATTTGTTAAAGATCCTGACTTTCCTCCAATGTGTATTTTTGGCTTCTTTGTCAAAAATCAGGTGACTATAGCTACATGGATGTTTATGTCCTCAATTTTATTCCATTGATCAGTGTGTCTTTTTATGACAGTACCATACTGTTTCTATTGCTAGAGCTCTGTAGTATAATTTAAAATCAAGGAATGGTGATACCTCCAGCAGTTATTTTATTGCTCAGGATTGTTTTGGCTATCCTGGGTTTTTTGTGTTTCCATATGAAGTATAAGATTATTATTTCTATTTCTGTGAAGAATCATGTTGAAATTTTGATGGGGATTATACCGAATCTGTAGATTGCTTTTGGTAGGGTGGCCATTTTCACAGTATTGATCCCACCAATTCATGAGCATGGGAGGTCTTTCCATCTTCTGGTATCTTCTTCAATGTCTTTAACAATTTTTTTTTAATTTTTTATTTATTATTTTTATGTGTATGCGTGTATTGCTTGCATGTAGGTAAGTGCACCCGTGTCGTGCAATGCCTGCAGAGGACAGAAGAGGCTGTTGGAGTCCCTGGAACTGGAATTACAGACAGTTGTTAGCTGCCATGTGGGTGCTGGGATTCGAACCCAGGTCTTTCATAAGAACAGTCAGTATTCTTAACCACTGAGCCATTTCTCCAGCCCCTCTTCAATGTCTTAAAGCTTTTATTATATAAGTATTCCACTTCTTAGATTTAGTCCAGGATTTTTTTTGAGAGTTATTATGAACGAGACTGTCTCCCTGATTTCTTTCTTGGTATGTTTGTTGTTAGTATACAGGAAGGCTACTGCTTATTTTGTATGTTAATTTTGCTACTATGCTGAATGTGTTAATAATACATCAACTGTTGGGAGTTTTCTGGTGGAATCGTAGAGTCTTATATATAGAATCATATCATTTGCATATAAGGATACTTTGACTTCATCTTTTCCTATTTGTACTCCCTTTATCTCCTTATTTCTCCAGGCAACACCTCACGCACTATATACATATATATGCTTTTATTTTTTATTGATTTATTTTTATGTGTATGAGTGTTTTGCCAGCATGTATGTAAGTACACCTATGTATGCAATGCCCACAGAGGCCAGAAGAAGGCATCTGATCCCCTGGAACAGTACTTGCAGATGGTTGTTAGTCACCATGTGAATCCTGGGAACCCGAACTCGGGTCCTCTGCAAGGGCAACCAGGGTTCTTAACTGCTGAGCAATCTCTCCAGACCCTTCTTTTTTGGCTTTTTAAGACAGGGTCTCCCTGCAGCCCTAGCTAGTCTAGAACTGGCTATGTAAACCAGACTAGCCTCAATCTCAGAGATCTGCCTGCCTCTGCCACTCAGGTGCTAGCTAGCATTAAAGGCAGCACCAGCACGCCCAGGTCAAGCACTATATTGAACAGGAATGTTGAGAGTGGACATCTTTGTCCTAATCTCAGTGTCAATGCTTTTAAATTTCTCCACCTAGCATGATGCTGACTGATTGTGCGCTTGTTGTATATTGCCTTTATTATATTGAGGTACATTCCCTGTATGCCTAGATTCTCCATAACTTTTATCATGAAGGGATGGTAGATTAGTTAGAGACTTTTTCTGCATCTCATGAGATGATCATGTGGGGTCTGTCATTTTGAGTCTATTTATGTGATGGATTACATTTATTGATTTATGTATGTTGAACATCTCTACATCTCTGGGATGAAGCTGACTTGAATTTGGGTTGCAAGTATTTTATTGATTATTTTTGCATCTATGTTCAACAGAGAGGTTGACCTGTAATTTTCTTTCTTTGTTATATATTTGTCTGGTTTTGATATCAGGGAAATACTCCATAATGTTTCTTCTTTTTCAATTTTGTGGAATAATTTGAGGTTGAGGAGTATTGGTGTTTGTTCTTTCTTTTCTTTCTTTCTTTCTTTCTTTCTTTCTTTCTTTCTTTCTTTCTTTCTTTCTTTCTTTCTTTCTTTCTTTCTTTCTTTCTTTCTTTCTTTCTTTCTTTCTTTCTTTCTTTCTTTCTTTCTTTCTTTCTTTCTTTCTTTCTTTCTTTCTTTCTTTCTTTCTTTCTTTCTTTCTTTCGGTGTTTTTGAGACAGGGTCTCCCTGTAGCCCCAGCTGTCCTGGAACTCACTATGTAGATCAGGCTGGCCTTGAACTCACAGAGATCCACCTGCCTCTGCCTGGGATTAATGGCATGCTAGATTCTTATCTCTTATGAAGCACAAAACTCAAATGGATCAAAGACTTCAACATAAGACCTGATATCTTGAATCTGATAGAAGATAAAGTAGGAAATTTGCTTGAACTCCTCACAAGTATAGGAAAGGACTTTCTGAACAGGACCACAATAGGGTAGCCATTAAAACCAACAACTGACAAATAGGCCCTCATTAAATAAAATGCTTCTGTACAGCAAAGGACACCATCATTCCAGTGAAGAGACAGCCTACAGAGTGGGGAAAAAAAATCTTTACACATCTGATGGAGGGTTAGTTTCTGGAATACACAAAAAACCAGAAACCTAAACATCAAGAAAACAAACATCCCAATTAAAAATTGGGGCAAGGACCTAAAGAGTTCTCAGAAGATGAAATTCATCTGGGCGTGGTGGTGCACACCTGTAGTCCCAGCACTTGGGAGGCAGAGACAGGTGGATCTCTGAGTTCAAGGCCAGCCTGTTTACATAGTGACTTCCAGGACAGCTTGGGCTACAGGGAGACCCTGTCTCAAAAAAGACCAAAAAAAAGATGAAATTCAAATAGCTGAGAAAAAATTTTTAAATGTTCAACATTCTTAGTCATCAGGGAAATGCAAATCAAAACTACTTTGAGATTTCATCTTACCATAGTTAGAATGGCTAAAACTAAACACAAATGATTGCATGCACATGGTGCACTTTCATACATGCAGACAAAACACTCATAAAATAATAAATCAAATTATTTGTATGTTTATAAATGTTTTGCTTGTAGTGTCCATGGAGGCCAGAAGAGGGCATTGGATCCCCTGGAATTGGAGTTGTTAGTTGCCATGTGGGTGCTGGCAACCAAACCTAGGTCCTCTGTGAGAGCAGCCAGTTCTCTTAACCACTGAGCTAGCTCTCAAACCCCAAAATAATAAATCTTAAAAAAAAACAAAAAACACTGGCATAAGTGTGAGGAAAGGGGAACACTTATTCACCACTGGTGGGACTGCAAACTGGTGCAGCCACTATGGTAATCAATGTGGAGTTTCCTCAAAAAGCTAGAAATAGACCTACCACATGACCTAGCTATTCTACCCTTGGGGATATACCCAAAGGACTCTGTATCCTACCATAGAGATACCCGCTCATCCATGTTCATTGCTATTCACAATAGCCAGGAAATGGAAACGACCTAGATACCCATCAACGGATGAATGAATAATGAAATGTGATACATTCACACAATGCATTGTTATTCAGCTGTTAAAAAAAAAAACAACAAAATTATGACAGTTATAGGTAAATAGTTGGAGCTGGAAACAATCATCCTGAGAGAGAGAATCCAGACTCAGAAAGACAAACATTGCATATTTCCTCTCATATGTGGATCTAGCTTTGGTTCTTTAGAAGTGTGTGTCTCTTGTTTAGAAAACCCATAGAGGTTAGGAAACTAGTAAGGGACGGCCATGGGGGTGGGTACTCTCAAAGGAGAAGAAATAGAATGCAGTGATATAAAGGAAAAAAGGAGAGTAATGAAGAGGAAGGGATAAGTGCTGTGGGGGTTGGGAGGGCAGGGTAGAGAAGGGAATATGGGGAATAATAACTAATACCAAAGGCTTTCGGAAAAGTCATATGCGACAGGGTTGGAGAGATGATTCAGTTGTTAAGAGCATTGACTGCTAGTCGGGCATGGTGGCACACACCTTTAATCCTAGCACTTGGGAGGCAGAGGCAGGCAGATCTCTGTTAGTTCCAGGCCAGCCTGGTCTACATAGTGAGTTCCAGGACAGCTGGGGCTAAAGGGAGACCCTGTCTCAAAAAGACAAAAAAAAAAAAAGCATTGATTGCTATTGCAGAGGACCTAGGTTTGGTTCCTAGCATCCACATAGTGGATAACAACCACCTATAACTACAGTTCCAGGGAATCTGACACCCTTTTCTGGCCTTATCTGGCATTGCACACATGTGGTACACTCACATACTACTAAAATTATATATATATCATAAAAATCATAAATCACTGGGTGTGGTGGCGCATGTCTTTAATCCCAGCACTCGGGAGGCAGAAGCAGGCAGATCTCTGTGAGTCCAAGGCCGTGGTGAAATAACCAGCACTCAGGAGGCAGAGGCAGGCAGAGCTCAGTGAGATCATGGCCAGCCTGGTCTAGTAGTTGAGTTCCAGGTCAGTTGAGGTTACAGGAAGACACTGTCTAAATTTTTAAGGGGCTGAAGAGATGGTTCAGTGGTCAAGAGCTTGTACTGCTCGTTCAGACGACCTGAGTTTGGTTACCAGCCTCCTCCTTGGGCAGCTCAAGAACTGCCTGTAACTCTAGTCCCTGGGGATCCAACACCCTCTTCTGGCCTCCTATACTTACTTGTATATACCCACACATAAACACACACACATAATTGAAAAAAAACTTTAAAAAAAATGTAAAGGTGTGGGTCTAAGTATGTGACAGCTAGAAGTCAGGTCTGTGTTGGCAAGAGCTGTACCTGCTCTTTGATCAGCACTGTGTCCACAAACCTGCAATTCTGTGTGACAACCAGTGTTTGCCTTGTACATGTTGATGAATGCCTCAGTCTAACCCCACGATTGCTGTTGGTTGCTGTGTTTGCAGTATGGGGTCCCTCTGCAGACTGCGAACACATCTTTGGGTTTTCTGATATTTCCTTCGCCTCTCACGTCATCTCTGTGCACAGATAATAATCCTGCAGGTAAGAAAGTGCCACTATTCTTCCTGTCCCAAAAGACATCCCTGTCAGCAGCCCACATTTGGGAGTGAACAGGCTTTGTAACTAGAAGAATCTCAAATTGAAAGGCTTCAAAGTCTATTTTCTCCATTTACTGCCTGACAGGATCCTTTCTGCTAGTCTGCTTCAATACTTGTGCTGAGCAGCTCACTCCCTACAGTCCAGTTGACTCCTGGTAGAACACTTCAGGGGCTGGGCCCATATAACACTGATCAAGCACTTGCCATGTACTGGGTACCGTACTGAGTGAGGTGTGGTTTCTCCAGTTAATCTTCACACTGGGGGCAGGTGAGATGGCTCAGTGGGTAAAGGTACCTGCCACCAAGCCTGATGCTTGAGTTCAATCCCTGGGACTCCCATAGTGGAAGGAGAGAATCAGCTCCCATAGGTTGACCTCTGGCCTCCACTTACATGCTGTAGCCTACATGAGCAAGTACACAAATCAAATTAAAAAATTTTGAAATCTTCATACTATCCTTTGAGGTCTGGCTAGAATCTCTAGTTTTTGTTGGTTTGTTTTTAGATGAGGAAATGGAGAAGCATACAATTTCTTTTTTCTTTTCTTTTCTTTTTTTTTGAGACAGGGTCTTGCTATGTAGCCCAGGCTGGTCTTGAACCAAAGATCTTTCCATCTCTGCCTTCCAAGTAGTGGGATCCCCAGGTATGCATCCCAGGCTTGGCTGTGTAGATTTCTTGCTTGGGCTGACTCCCACAGTGGTATCTCTGAGACATTGTAGCCCAGAGTGATGGTGCATGCCTTTAATCCCAGCAGAGACAGGCAGATCTTTGTGAGTTCAAGGCCAGCCTAGTCTACACAACAAATTCCAGTCCAGCTGAGACTACAAGGAGACCCTGTCTCAGAAAGACCAAAAAAAACAAACAGACAAAAAAAAACCCAAAAAAACAAAACAAAACAAAACTCTGGGACATTGTACTCTTGCTGTGCTCACATGCCTGGGTGAGACCTGCTTTTCATTGCAGAAGAGCAGAGAAGCCAAATTCTAAGCCCTGGGCAGTAGAAGATCAAAGCTATGGTTCTCTGAGCCTTCAACCAGCCTTGAGTGTCTAATGAGCAACAGGGAACTGGATTGTATTCAGATGCTTCATCTTGCCAGTAGTAGAACCAGTGTCAGTTAAGGCCAGCCAAAGATGGGTAAGGAGGGCAGGCCTTTAACCCCAGCCTGGGAGGCGGAGGTAGGAGGATCACCAGTTTCAATTCAGCCTGTGCTACATAATGAGACCTTGTCTCAACAAACTGAGAAGCTATTTTCACCTATCAGGTTGACAAAACTCAGAACATGTGAAGCTGTGGGGAAAGAGACACTCTCCTGCCATAGCTGGAAACAGTAGGTCCCACCCCTGTCAAGGGCAATGTAGCATGGATCAGAATTACAAAGGTTCCTGCAGAAGCACTGGCCCACATGCAGAATCCCCATGCAGCCTGTGCAGATTGTGACAGCAACAGGAAAGGCAGAGACAAGTGCAGTGGCCATTAGCAGGGAACTGGGGAGTAATTATACGCATCCACAAGAGAACGCTAATTATCCCTTCACTGGCTGCGCCAGAGAATCTTCAAGATAACCATTGTTCATGGAAATAAAGAGGCAAAATAGAGTGTCAAGCATCTGTTTCCAAAATGGGAAAAATAATTGTGAAAAGCACCCTTTTACATGTTTTATTTGCATAGACTATTTCTGAAAGATAAGCAGGCAGATCACACTGCTGCCTCTGGGGCAGGGATTTAGGTAGGGGCAGGAGTTGAAGGGGAGCTCTACTCAGTGTCTTTTGTGCCTTTTGAATTTAGAGTTAATGTACATGTAGTTCCTAGTTGAAAACCATCTGTTAAGCCCTATTTATTTTATTAATTTACTCATTTTGAGAGAGGGTCTCACTATTAATGTCACCCTGGTTGGCCTAGAACTTGCTATGTAGACCAGGCTGACCTTGAACTCACAGATGACCACCTACCTCTGCCTTCCAAGTGCTGGAATCAAAGGTGTGCACTACTACACTGGGCCCTAAGCCCTATTTTAAACATTCTGCATATTAGACAAAAACCCAGCACACAACAGTGGAAACAAACAGCAGACCCCAATATTAGTCGAAGTATTATTGGCAGCTGATTACTACTAGGTGAGGAAGAGCTGATCTTCTTAAATGGAGAGACTCTAGATAGGCTGACTAGATCCCAGTAGATGAACTTGCACTGAGGGACATCTGGGGACACTAACTTTACATGATAGGCTTTAACACAAATGACAGAATGTATGAACTCCAGTGCAGGGGCTATAGGAGGGTACCAAAGGGGAAAGGTTATAAAGATGATTTTCTGTGTGAAATACACAAAAATTCAATAAAAAAATTAAAACAAAAAAACAAAAAACCCATGCTGCATTTCTGTATTACAACTTATTTTGCCATTTAATATACATTACAGTGTTTTCAGTATCCATTAGATAGTTGAAAATTTTCTTCTGTTTTTTTCCCCTTGGAAATGGTATTCCCAGCATTCCTGGTGGAACAGGCTGTTGAATGCAGCAGAAGGGTAGACATAGCACAATGTGAAGAAACTGAAGCCCTCCGCATGGCTCATTACAGCAGCTCTGTGATCCTGAGGGTAAGATTAACTTGAAGTGGATTGACTGGTTGTGTTTTCTGGCTTTTGTACTCTTAAAACACGTATTGAATGATTTTAGCACATGACTGACAAAGTGGAAAGTTCTGTTTTCGAGTTCTTTAGTATCAGTGACTATTGAAATAATGTTTAAGTATTTTTTTGTTATGTAATTAGATCACATTTTGCTTTCATTCAGTTTTAAATTTCTTTCATTCATCTTGATACCACCCAATACTGTCTCCTGGATAAGGCAGTCTTTACTAATAGCTAACAACTTTTTTAAAATTAATTAGTTAATTAATTAATTTAATGTGTATGTGTGTATTGCCTGCATGTAGGTAAATGCACCCGTGTCATGCAATGCCCTTGGAGGACAGAGGGACTGGAGTTATGGACAGTTGTTAGCTGCCATGTGGGTGCTGGGATTTGAACCCAGGTCTTCTGTAAGAACAACCAGTGTTCTTAACCACTGAGCCATCTCTCTAGCCCAAGTTTTTATTATTATTAATATTAATATTTATTATTTACTAATAGCTAACAACTTTAGAAACCATAAAGCATTTTACTCTCTATGACAGAAATAATCCTATTAGTCCCCCAAAAAGCATGCTCTCAAAACAGCAGAAAAAGGACGAGCCATCCATTCTGGTAGGAGGTGGAGAGGGCAGTCAAGAAAGGGCTGGCAGGGGCTGAGTGGGGACCAAGGTCCAGTGGGGAGGCCCTTATCCCCATGCTGGTGACTGAACTGGATCAGTCAGTGACCAAGGCCCTGTCCCACTTGGTAGAGGAGAGGGAGATCTGTAAGAGAAGACTGAAAATATACCATTCTGTCCAAGGTTCCCCCTGATTTGCCCCATTACTTATCTGGGCATCTGTGTTCAGAGTCAAGTCTACCTTTCCTCTCTCCTTTTTTTTTGTTTTTTAAATATTTATTATTTTATATGTACGAGTACATTGCCTGCATGTATGTGAGTGCACTCGTGCTGTACAATGCCATGGAGGTCAGAAGAGGGCATCAGAGTCCCCTGGAACTGGAGTCAAGGATGGTTCTTAGCTGCCATGTGGGTACTGGGAATCGAACTTGGGTCCTCTGTAAGAGTAATTAGTGCTCTTAACTGCTGAGCCATCTCTCCAGCCCCCTTTTTCTTTCTTTTTAAAAAATATTTATTTTTATTTCATTAGTATGTATGATTTGTCTACATGTATGTATGTGTGCCACATGTGTGTATGTTCCCCCCCAGAGGCCAGAAGGCGGCCCTACTACTGGAGTTATATAGGTAGTTGTTTGCCACCATGTGAGTGCTGAGAACCAAATCTGGGTCCTCTCCAAGACCAGTTAGTGCTTTTAACCACTGAGCCATCTCTCCAGGTCTTTTCTTTTTCTAAGTTGGTCTTCTAGACTTGAGTTCTTCAGTTTGACCTGTCAAGTTGTCCTGAAGTCCCTTAGTATTACTGGGTATAGTGCTTTCTCAGCACAGGCCTTCCCAAGCATGTTTTACCTGTTGCCACCTCAATCTCCTTCAGCCCAACAGGTTATGTGGCAATGAGGGTGGAATGGTGAGCTCTTTGGGAGGAGAGCTGTGCTGCACTGGCATTAGGTGGGGGCTTGGGGTGGGAGACCAGTGAGCAGACTGTGGCAATCCCCTGGGCCATTGATGGTGGCTTTCCAGTAAAGGCAGGCGTATTTTGATCAGCCCACAGGGCAAGTTGTGCCTCTCCTTCCCCAGTGTTGGGGCAGTGAGGGCCAGGTGACAGTAAGGAATAGTGACGCCCAGGGTGGAGGCCTCTGACAAGTTCCTGAGTGTAATGAGGTGACCCGTGGTACTTCATAAGGAAGGGCAAGACTGGAAGGAAATGCAGTGATTATGACGTAGATAGCAGTATGTAGACCAGGTCCTGGGTAGAGAAACTCTGCTGTCCTTTTGGTGACATTTCTAATGGCCTTTAGCCGAAGTCTGAAAAAGCTGTAAACATCCATATGTTGTACTTAACTATGTTATGCTTTATTTTTGTCTAGACGCCTAATTCAACAATACAGGTAAGAGTATTTCCTTCTTTGTGTGTATGTGGGGGAGTATGCATATATACATGTTTGCATGAATACGTGTGCATGTGGGTAAGTGTGTGGAGGCCACAGGTCAATTTCAGGTGTCTTCCTCAGGAGTCATCCACTTTGGGGTATTTTTGTTGGTGTTGTTTTGTTTTTGTTTTTAATATTTTATTATTTTTATTTTATGTGTATGAGTGTATTGCCTGCATGTGTGTAAGTGCACCTGTGTAGTGCAGTGTCCAAAGAGATCAAAAGAGAGCATTGGATTCTCCTGGAACTAGAATCACAGATGGTTGTTAGCCGCCATAAGAGTGCTGGGAATCAAAACTGGGTCCTCTGCAAGAGCAGCCAGTGCTCTTAACCTTTGAGCCATCTCTCTAGCCCCTACCTTGGTTTTTGAGCCAGGGTCTCCTATTTGGCCTAGAGCTAACCAAGCTATCTAGACTGGCTGGCCAGAGAACTCCCATACCCCTGTCTCTGCCTCCCTGTAGGCTGAGATCATATACATGTATCATCACACTAGGCCTTTGTTGTTGTATTGTGGGTTCTGGGGATCAAATTCAGGTTTTCATGCTTATGTTGCGAACCTTTTACAAATTGAGCTATTTTCCCAGCCCTGATAAAAGTCTCTTTCTCTCTCCCTCCCTCCCTCCCT